AAAGAAAGGGCATCTAATTATTAACCTGCGAATTATAACTTCTAATGTACTAGGATCGATGTACACTTGTGTTCTACCAGTCATAATATAATTTCATATAAATAGTGTCATCGCTTTCCTTGATTCTTGACAAATCACCACATCAAGATTATAATTAAGATTATATTTGTGAGCTGCAATGGTTACTCAAACATGTAAATGAATATTCTGGTCACTAGAAGCTTACGCGAAATCAAACTTGCAATGTTGTGCTATCTACTAAAAGAATAAGAGTTTGCTCCCGAGAAAAAAAACTATAGTTTACCTCTGTAACACCAGCTCTATAAACAATATTCGACTCTATAAAATGTTAAGAATTGGAAGCATTGTTTTTTAATCTGCAAAGCACATAAAAGAAGTCTGTAATCATATAAAAAACCTTGTATTTCTTCTAAAAATTTGGCGGTAGAGATGTTTTGTCTGCAAGGCAGCGCAGCAGGCATTTTTTCTGTAAAAATTCATTTTGATACACTGAAAACAAGTTATATAAAAGAAAGTTGTACTTTCAAACCACCAACAAACATCATTAAACTCTAAGAATATTAATGTCACTACCAAATAGAAGAATTATAAACATGAAAGTGGTTGAACCTTAGAGCTCCTACCTAGAGTCACATATAATTTCCTGCCAACCTGAGAAGCTACAAAAAAGTTTATACATATATAAACTATATATTGTTTACGTTTCATCCCAAAACTAGGTTAGACTAATAACTAATCAATAAATAAACAAATGAAAAAACAGTGAAGCCGCCAAATGACGATAACTTTGGCTTCTCCGACACAATAACATAACAGATGGGAGCACCAAGCCCTCAAATTTTAAGACAATAATATGAACAAATATATCTATAAACAATTGAAATACATAAATGACTTACAAGCAAAAGGGCAATTTCCTGATACCCTTTATATGTGCCATCACAATCTCAAACATAAACCTAAATTTTGGAAATTTTATTCTTAAAGTACAATAAAAAGTACTGAAGAAGTTCAATCACATAACAATAGGTGGGAGAAAATAACGCAGATGAAGAAATTGCGGGGCTGGAGCGGCTACACGTAAAGCGATTACCCTAATTATCGCAACGTCTAAGAGGAAGATGCCAGATCGAAAAATTGAGCGCAGAAAAAAATCTTACCCGCTGAGGAGGTTTGTGTCAAGAAGTTTTCGCAGAAGAGATAAGCACATAGACTGTTTTCGCCGGAGACTTGCACAGAGACCGCTTCACAGAGGAGGTTTTCGCAAAGAGTGTCAAGAAGAAGATGAGCCGGCCGACTTATTAGAAGGGTTTTGCCGCAGCGCTATCTACACCGCATTAATTTTGCGGGTCAGAAGGGGCTGCCGATTTTTAAAATAAAAACATCCCACCGGCGTGGGAATAATTAAATTAGAATGGTCCTTCTAAGACGGTTCCTAATAAACGGACATACAGGTAAAAATATAAATAAAAAAACGAGCCACCTATAAGGACTGTTATTTCCGGAACCGCCGTTCAACAAATAATTAATTTTAAAAAAATGATCTACAACGTCGGTTCTTTTAACAACTGACGTAAATGCTCTTTCAATTCTTAATGACGACGGTTTCTAAAAAACCGACGTCATATGTATGACGTGATATGTGATTATTGTAGTAGTGGTTGCTCCCAAAAATGGCCCAACTTTATGAGTATGATGGTGATGAGGAAGAAGATTGTGTGGATCTCACAAATAAATCGCCATCTCCCAAAAGACAAAGACAAAAGGGTCCAATTGATGTTTATTTTAGACCTAACCCCGAAGATGTCCTTAAAGGAAAAAAAGCGGGAAGCAACAAATCATCAATGAAGTTTGTAAAAAGGAATTAAGAGCTAAAGTATGTGGAGACATAGTTAGGTGGTTTATTGATGCAGCTCTTCCATTTCATGCTGCCAATTATGATAGTTTTAAAATTATGATTGAATCGATTGGGCAATTTGGTCCCGGACAGAAACCACCTAGCATGTACGAGTTAAGAGTTTCATTACTTAGAAAGGAAGTGGAGGATACCCAAACAATGCTGGATGAGCACAAGAAAGAATGGACATTAAAAGGTTGCTCGTTGTTATCTGATGGGTGGCGTGATATCGTTGCCCAAAAGAAGATCATTAATTTTTAATTAATTCTCCTAAGGGTTCAGTGTTCATTAAGTCCATGGATGTTTCAGAAGTCTCAAAAGATGCAAATCTTATGTTTAATATTCTTGACGAAATGATTGAAGAAATTGGTGAGCAGAATGTAGTGCGAGTTGTAACTGACAATGCATACGCTTATGTGAAAGCAGGTAAGTTATATGATTATATCAATTTTACTTTTTTACAAATGTTTTTTCATTCTTTTTAACAAAAAGCTAAAATGTTAACTGTGATTTAAAACTTTCGTAGGAAAATTACTAGAAGCAAAACGTCCACACCTTTATTGGACTCCTTGCGCTGCGCATTGCATTGATCTTATGTTAGAGGACATTGGGAAGATTCCCAAAGTTCACAATGCTTTGAAGAAGGCAGTTTTTATGAATGGTTTTATCTATTCCTATGTTGGTCTTGTGAATATGATGAGGAGATTCACAGGCCAAAGGAATTTGCATAGGCCTGGCATCACGAGATTTGCTACATCTTTTATCACTCTCTCTCAATATCACAAGCAGATGAATAATTTGAGGAAGTTGGTGACTTCGGGAGATTGGAGATCAAGCAAATGGTCAAAAGAAGCAGCTGGAAAGAAAGTTGTGTCGTATTTATTGCAAGAGAGTGTCTGGAAGAGTGTTGTTTATGCTTTGAAATTGGTGGGGCCGCTTGTGAAAGTGTTGAGGATCGTTGATGGAGAAAGAAAGCCGGCCATGGGATACATATATGAAGCCATGGATACGGCTAAGGAGACCATTGCAAAATCTTTCGGAGAAAAAGAAGAATTTTATAAGAAAACATTTGAAATAATCGATGAGAGGTGGCAATGTAAGTTGCATCGGCCGTTGCATGCTGCGGGGCATTACTTGAACCCATAACTCTTCTATGATGATTGAGAATGCATCACGAATGATGAAGAGGTGATGAATGGCTTGTATGCTTGTATTGCTAGATTGGTTGTTGATGTTGAAGACCAAGATAAAGTCATCAAGATAACGTCACTAGATCAGTAGCTAGGAATGATGGAGCTAGCACATCAAACAATGACAAAGGCAAGAGAATTGTTGAAGAAACTTGGGAGGAAGACTTAGGAGTAAATGATGACGAAGGAAATGACGATGTTGAGCTTGTTACTCTCGATAATGAGGATGATGACAGTGATGAATTCTAGGCCTAGATTTCACAATATTGCTTGCAAGTTTAATTATGTTTTGAAGCTCTAAGATTGAGTTTTGTGACCTGACTTTTGGCAATTATGCCTTTAAACATATATTTCTTGCTTCTGTCTTATTGTCTTTAATTAATATTTTGTTTCTCTTATGATGTTTATTCAGATTGTTTAATAGTTTGAAGTATTTTTGAAAAGAGTGTTTCATGTAGAAGTACTAAAAATATACGTAGTATTTAACGATGGAAATGTGGCTGAGATCCGTGAGGCGCGCGCCTCACCGCCTAGCGCCTCGCGCCTCGGGTGAATCAAAGAAATCGCCTCAAGGAGCCTCGTGCCTTTTAAAACCAAGGGCCCAACTAGTCTCCACCTAATTGGTTTGGTGCCTAGGTGAATTAGTTGACCATCTAGGACGCCAAGTTGCCGCCTAGTGTGTCTAGATTTGCGGAACTTTTTTTGCTTTTTTCTTTTATAACTTTTCAATGGAATATGATTACCTTTAGCTTTAATTAACAAAACATATGAAGAAAGTCACTAATTGAAGATTAAGATAAAAATTATACATGTTTTGTATATAATTTTAAACGTTATACGTTATTACTTCCTCCGTCGCGCTAAAATTGTCCCAACTTTTCTTTTTGGTCCGTCTCATTAAATTGTCAGATACCATACCAAATTTGAAAAAGTTGTGTGATTCTAAATCATTATTTTTACTTTATTTGTACTTTATCAATTCATTATCAATCACATAATTTACTTTTCTATAGAATTTTGTCGACCACCTCCTAATGTCTCATTGTTAGTGAAACGGATGTAGTATTATTTAGCTAGTAATATTTTACTACATAATGAATTTAAGTGAGCGGGTATATTATCCCCAAGTCAAATTAACTGCTGTTTGCTAGAGTTTATTCTTTATATGGAAATGCCAGCCTATACGGTAATAAAAGACCACGTATTCTGAATGATTTAATTATTATACCAAAATTTTGTGATTTTGTTAATAAAATAATGTTATGAACTCAACTACTTGGTTTCCCTTTCCCTGTTAGCATAATAAATAGGGTTTTAATGGATAAAGCCAATAATAAAAATGTGAACTCAAACGTACTACTCCCTCCGTTCCTATTACATCTTTAAACATTCCTTTTTCATCCGTTCAAATTAAACTTCCACTTTCGTTTTTTGATAAAGAATTTGTGTTTCACAACATTTCTTGCTCATTTTTCTCTCCTATACACAACTTTCGACCACACAATATCCATTTTTCTTAAATTATGTGACAAAGTGAAATGGAATATATAAATAAAACTAAGTAATTGAGCATCCGGCCGGCCGGGCATAAGTTTAATTTTTTGACACCAACTCAAAACGTAGGCCATTAATTAAGGCCTCCCTTAGAGTGAGTAAAGAGGTGCATAGTCTTCATTGTTCTTTGGATTTGAACTCAACCAAATCCCGATAAAAAGTGGCCTGCCTGCCTGCTGCGTACTATACATATACATCAACTTTGTCAAGTATCCTTTTCGTACTGCCAACTTTTGGGTCATTGTCCCAATAAGCAATTACGGAAAAGAATGTTAATTTAACCATAATATAAAATATTCCAAGAATTTTGAAACATTCAGTCAGTCAAACCCTTCCAAATCAAATTCCTCATGGGGACTCTCATCCAACTTTATCTCTGAACAAACAAACATCTCTCTCACCATTAAATTAAACACCATTGATTAATGAAACTAATTAATACACCAAATAAGAACCCCCTACCTTACCTTTAAATCTTTAATTTAATTATTCACTTACAAAATAACGAAACACTGAAATATTATACTGTAATAATTAATATAATAATATAAATGGCTTCAGTAATTCTTGAGAGGCAGAAACTCAAAGAATTGGTAATGATGGGGAGCGTTGACCACATGGGACTCGCTGTCCATGGAGGCTGCCGCCATGAATGCGGGGTCCATGCCGTTTCCGTTTTGGTCTCCGTCTCGAAGAGGGAAGAGCTGAAGGGTTTGGAACCCACTATCGACTATGGATTTCGCTTCTGGTGGGTCCGAGAAGAAGTTGAGAGTCTGATTGAGGAGCAGCTTTGCGGTGGATGAAGTGGAGGAGGAGGAGGAAGAGGAGGCCGCAGTGGAGATGTTGGTTGCCGCTGGGATAAACTGGCGGTGGTGCTGATGGGGAGGTGGTGCTGACATCTGATGACGCCACGTGTCATTTTGCTCTTGCTTCCTCTTTTGCACCTTTTCGTTTCCACCCTCCATCTCTACCAGTCCTGTCGCTCTACCATTCACTATCTTTGTTCCCATTTTTACTGACCTGCTTTTCTGATCATAAAAAATCAATGGAAACTTTTTTATTCTTGTCAAACAACAACGTACCAAAGATGTCGCCGGCGTTGAACTCTAACTAATTAATATTTGCGATTTAAGAACTTTTCCTGTGAAAAGTACACTTTCCGGCAATAGCATACCAGAAAAGATGTCGCCGACGTTGAACTCTTCCGCCGAAACGTGTACTTTCCGGTGAGAAAGTCCTTAAATTACAATGATTTATTAGTTACAGGACCAAATTTGCAAGTGCTTAAAGTTACAGGATCAAAAATGATAACGAGGACTAAAATTACAAATCTCCCAAAGTATTATTGGAACAAAAAATGCTACATAAAATTATACAGTTAGTGGTGAAAAGAAAATCGGTTCATATATGTACTCCGTATATAGTACTGTAGCATTGTTGAATTAAGTAAAGGTGAATCCATTTTGTAAAAGAGGGAGTAATAATAATAATAATAATAATTATTATTATTATTATTATTATTATTTATTAACAACACTTTCTTATAAAATCAATTCCTATACCTTCCGAATATTAAACACTCCATATGTAATTAATAAATAAACACTACATCCCCTAGTTTCTGAACAATACAATATAAAATATGTATAGTATTGAAGTTTTTTGGAACAATGCAATATTTGGACTTTCAGCTATTTGGACTAATTTTGGAATTATGTACTCCTTTTGCTTTTTTTGGCGCAACATGTACAAGTATATTATAAGATAATAGTAGTACTACATAAGTAAACACGTAAAGTCTTTAAGATCTCAATTATGTTGACATTATAAGATGAAACACTAAATTTCATACTCCGTATAGTATTAGTGTCTGATTCCTTTGTAGTTATTAGTTTCTTTGACACTTGAGAATGTAGTAACTATTTTCAGGTAAATGGATACCAAGTACATGCCTCCATCTCAGAATTGAAGGACCATTTTCATTTTTTAGTGGATCAGACATTGTTAAAATAACATTGGTTATTAATTTATAAAAAATGATCGAAATAGGACTAAAACATAAATTAAAGAGGAATCACAAGTAGGAGTACGTATTTATGTTTCATTCCAAAAATAGGATTTGTGTGATTCTATTAATAGTTTAAAACTTCCCCATTTAAAACTTCCCTATTAAGAAGTGGTTGAGTCCTATTTTAGATAGAAAACCATGATGATCCCACTTTGTCCATGTAATCTTATGAATTTTCTCTTAATTTATTCAAGAAAAACATTCTCTCTATATCCAATAAAACTCCATCATCTTTAACTTTCTTTGACACTATTGTTCAAGTTTGACCAATAACCTTTTTAAAAAGAAATTATTTATTATATGAAAAAAGACATTCAAATGTTTTTGTTAAAGTATTTTCATGGAAATATAATAAAGTTTATAACTTTCACACAAATATATTAATCATAATTATAGCACATAGTTTACCACCATAGATAAAGAAAGTCACATATGACAAAGTTGTGTAGAACGGAAGGAGTATCACATGAAAATACAATGAGATATTTCTTTGAATATAATAACGAAAAACGATGTAGCAGGGTATATATAAATTGTATACTAAGTTGATAAGTAGTCCGATATATGAACATTAAATAAAATACTGTTAAAGTTAGGTTGGAATTGAATAACCTAGTTAGGTAACATAAACATCCCATCCAACCGTTAAATAGTAAGTATAATTGGTAAAAGGCAATTTGTAAACATATAGATTGGGACGTGAAGGTAGATGTTACTGAACCCTAGGGCACAGGAAGGTTGGTGGAGGATGTGTGTAAAGTATATTGAGGACAAGCAAGAAGCTAGGTAGGTGTTGTAACTTCAATTAAGAGTGGTAATATATACTGCTCCTTCCGTCCCGTTAATAATGGGACAAGAGGGAGTGACACGCAAATTAATAAAAAGTGGTTTATGTGATTGATATTGAATTGATAAAGTAAGAATAAAACAAGAATGACTTAGAGCCACACAAACTTTACCAAATTTGGTATGAGATAATCTTAATGAGACGGACCAATAAGGTAAAATGGGACAATAATTGCGGGAAAGAGGTAGTAGTACTCACAACGTACTATATATGGTTAGCTAGATGGAGATGGATTCTTAGTTTGATGGATTGGTCACAAAACTCGACGGATATGATGGATCTACGTACAGGAAGCTAGCTGCTGCTAAGAGTTAAGGTAGGTTGATGGAGGATTTGAGGACATTAATTTGAAGTTCCAAGGTAGATCATATCTTCTTGATTTGGGACACTCTACTTTGTGGTACATAGGAAAGTCAAATTTGATTGAATCTATCAACGTACGTACGTCTTTTCACTATAAAAGACTGCAATCACCCGGCATGCATATATGGGTGCCCATCTCACTTCTCCCAAGTGCAAACAAATATCCACCAAATATATACGGATCCCACAACATATACACACATTATATATATATTTATATATATATATATATATCCTCTTTTAATAGTTCTCGCTTTCCCTTTTTAGCAAATATAAATAAAGTTTTCATTTCTATTTTTGAAAAGTATTTATTACTCCGTATAAATTTATCTTTATACATTATTTACTTTAATTACTTATCTTATACTCATTTTTTATCTCACACTACACATAATCCGTAAGGATAGAATAGGATAATCAAAAGTAAAAAAATTAACTTTCTTAAAAACGTAAAGTCCAACTAGGATTTGAATAAGATAAAGAAATTGATCAAAATATGACCAAAACATAAACACAGTGCAAAAATGGGACTAAGTATGTTTTATTCCCTTAATAGGTCTTACGTAGTTATATTAAAAGAAACAACTGATTAAAACTTCCTAAATTAGAAGTGAATGGGACCCTATTTCGAGAAAAAACAATGATAGTCCTATATGTGAACTTTATCATTGTTTTTGTCCTCTTTTAGGAATTTTCTCTTTAAATATATACTATCTGCGTCCCGAAAAAGTTCAACATATTGACTTTTCTTGGTCAATGATGACAAATTTTGGACGATGATTTGGATTATTGTATTTATCAATAATTTGTAAATTTATAATTTTATGAAAATACTTTGAATAAGGAACATTTTGATATAATTTTTATATTCAAAACAATTTCAAATTAAAAAATAGTATTGGTTAAAGTTGATTGTTATTGACTAAAAAAAATCAATTTGACGAACTTTTTCGGGACAGGGGGAGTAATTAATTTAATCTCTTGAAAAAATTCTCACTTTTCTTTCTGGACAGGTCTAAATTATAGTTTTCATTCTTTTTTTGCAAGTTAAAGTTTTCATTTCTATTTTGGGCAAGTATGATTTATTAACTTATCATCCTAAACGAGCTAGATTTTTAGTTATATAATTAATTTATTTCATTAAAAGAATGCTAAACCCTAGGTGGCTTCCTATGTAGCATATACATATAGATATAGCCACATAGCTAGCTAGCATCCTTACAAGTCACGCAGCAGCAGCAGCACCGACAGAAAGGAAGCAAACCAGCTTTTGGAGCATTTTTTCGTTTTCCAACAAATCCGCTTTTCTTTCTTGCCTCCCACCACCCTGAATAACCACCACATTTATCTTGCCACTTTTTAATCATGTGCTTATAATTACCTTGGTTTGAAAGGAGTAAGGGTTGTTTTTCGAGCTTGGAATTAATTATGGAGTAGTTAAAATGCGTGCCCCTTTAATTAATTTTCCAAATTAAAATGAAAACACCTGCCTTTTAATTTGTAGATTCTTCCCTAGGTTGGTTTTAGGGAAAAACCAATATATCCACCCTTAGATGTTTAAGGTAGAGGCAGACCACCAATCATTTTACAGAAAATGCAAAATTAAAGTATAATTTACATACTCCGTCCCGTCCGTCAAAACAATTTATCTAGAACTTTTTGTAATTCATCCCAAAAGTATGTATAAGATATTCTTAATTACTTTTAAATAAAAATAATTGTGTTATGGAGGAGATCCTTGAAAAATAATTAAGGTAAATACTGGATGACTCCACAAATCATAACTGCATTATATATATTGAGGAAAAAGTATATATAAAAATGGACCTCTGGAGTAAGTGTTGTATGGGATGGTGACCAGTTTTTGGTCTGTTGTGTATCCCCCACTTCAAACCTTGTCCTCATATTTGGCCCTGTAATAGACAATAAATATATAATAATGTCCGCGCGGGCGAATAATCAATCATTTCCAGAAAACAAATCAGACCATTATCAAATTAAGAATAAATGTATCCGGGGCCGGGAAGTGAAAATTAATTAATCCGAAAAAGCCAATTCAAAGATCCGAATATTAAAAAAAACCATGGATTACCAGCAGCAGCAGCAGCTGATTCCTTTGTCCCCGCAGAGTTGGCCATGCAATTAAGAGTACGGCCGGCTTCGGCGGACTCCAGCTGACGGCGGCGCTTCTGGCGTTCCCGCGCTTTGTGGTTCTGGAACCAGTAAAACACGTTCTTCCCTTCAATCCTGCCGTACCTGCGGAGCTGGGCGGTGATTTGCTGGATCTGATCCGCCGACGGCGTCCTCGTTCCCCGGCGGTACAGCTCCTCCAGCGTCTGCAGCTGCTCCGGCGTCGGGTTCCACCTCGAACTCACCACCACTTGCTGCTGGCTGCTGAACTGCTCTCTCCTGTTTTGCTCGCTCGTCGTCGCCATAGCCCCTAATTAGTACATACAGTACAGGACGGAATTAGCTGGCTAGCAATTTCATTCCATCGATCAATACTCTATATATATGTATACGAATGCATTCCTGCCGTTACGCTACGTTTTAATTTGGTCTGGCCTCTAATTATTTAATTAAAAAATCAAACTGCGAGCGTGCGACGACGTACCGAGATGGTGGGTGAATGTGAGGGCGGAGGGAGAGAGTGGGCGGGGGCGGCGGCTGTTGAAGGAATCCGGGAAGCTGAAATCTCCGGTATGATTGTAACCCATCGTAGCTAATTAACGGTCAATCAATCACTTACGTACGTACGTACGTACGTTATATATAAAGGGTAACAAGCTTAGCTAATTAAGGCGGGTGTTTCTAGCTGTGTGTTTGGGCGACGCTCAGATTGACGCAACACTACTACATACACACATATATATACAGTTGACGTACGTGCGCGGACCAGCATTTTAGCTAGTCTTCAAACTTTTGAAATCAGACAGAATAGTAAAGTTATTTCGTAAAATATAACTTTTCGCAAAATACTATAGTTACAATCACTCATATCGCAGGAATTTTATCGTTTCAGGACTCGAAAGATAGATGAATTATCACTTCGGGACCTGAAACATGAGATCTATCGCTATAGGACTCGAATGATGAAAAACTATCAATCTAAGACCTAAAATTTCATAGGTTTTGATTTATTTAATTTTTTATTAATTCCATTGCTAATTTTTGATAAACTTTTCTTCACAAAAGTTTATTAATTTCATAAAACTAAATAATATTTAAAAATTTTAAGATAAAAAAATTAATAAAATTTCGGACAACTTAGGTCCCAAATTGATAATTTCCGATCATTCAAGTCCTAAATTGATAGTTTTCTATCATTCGGGTCCTATATCGATACATTTCATCTTTCAGGTCCCGAAGTGATAATTCATCTATCTTTCGGATCCTGAATTGATAAAATTCCATTGTAAAATTGAATACCGACTATAATATACTACTACTATTTACTGATTGGATTATTGGGTTATATGAAGTACAATCACATTATTTTATTTATCATCTAAATTTTAGTCATATACTATATATGTTCTTAAATAATTGCAACATGTGCATGGTTAGTGCGAAAGGCGTGCGCGGCGTCCAGTAGCTTTGGCAAAAAATTTCTTTCCGCGTATGGCGTGCCCTCCTTCCATCCGAATTTGGCTATGCTTTTTTATCAAAGTTGTAACTAATGAAGTCCTATCTATCCATCACAATTTGAAAATCTGGAATTAGACATCCAATCAAAAGATATGGATGAAACGGTGGAAGGTCGCATCCTGAAATTTCAATAACAATGATCTGACTTGCTCGTCTATTTTCATCTTGATTCTCTCAAATTCTCATCATGGTGTCTTCATATGATTTGTAGCCCATTGAGTTATCTTTCATATGAAACTTGAGTCGTGTCATTTCATGTTTTCTATGAAAAGATATGTTCAAAGGATTGACAGTGTCATTCAGATTTAAGGTTGCGAGTTTGGCAGTGATCCAAATAGTCGTTTTTCATGCTCTTTGAGTTCACGTTCATTCCGGTATTTGATCCTAGAGATCCCTTGAATTCAAAATCACTCTTATAATGTCTTGTACGTAAACCTTCAATACTTATCAACAACTCTCAAATGTGTCCCAATAATACATTATCGAGAAGAAAAAAAAATCAATGTAGAGGTTTATTCAGTATTTATACAAATGCATGTACACAAGAATCAGCAGCATGATCAAATACAATTTGAGAGAACTAACTATATAACCCGGATAACCTGAATATAATTTCATTACATATCAATGTCGCCGATGGGTATACATTAAAAAACCAACATTATACATCATATTTCTTATTATTACAAAAACATAACTATGTTGGTCTACAAAAAGTGTTGGTTTTGTTTTCTAAAACAAGCACTTGCTCCCTCACTTAATTAAAGTCACGCTTTGTCTTTACACATATTAAGGAAATAAATTTACTGATGGGTAAATTTTACTGTTTAGTACATTGTTTTATACTGTTTGACATTTTGTTACACTGTTTTGTATTGTTTTGATATAGATTTGTCTACCAAACAAGAAAGTGAGATTTTATTTAGGGACATCCAACAAAGAAAAGTGTGACTTTATTTATCAATTTACATCGTGTTCAACTATTAATACATTACTAAAGTTTTGGCCATTTTAAAAATAAATAAGTTATCAGATAACATTATCCATGATTATTATATTAGATGATAAAACAAAGCTAAAATAATTTGAGGACATTTGTTGAGATGCAAAATAATTACTTAACATTTGGCATTGTATCATGGAAAACATATTAGTGGGAGGATTATAAGTGTTAGTAAGATAATAATTTGTATTGTTACTTAACATTTGGTATCAAAAACCAAAAATGATAGTGACATAATAGTAAGAGCCTATTTGGTAACACGAATATCGGCGGATTCGGCTGATTCTGCTCAAGTTTATGAAGTTATGAGAGAAGTGGCTGCGTTGGCTGATTCTGATGATATAGGAAAAAATTATTTTTAAATATTTTTAATTAATAAAATAATAAAAAAATTAAATTTAAAAATAGCTAAAATTGTCATCTACGATAACTTCAGCCAGTACGGCCAGAAAAGTAACATCAACCTTACTTTTTCTTATTATTACACAATTCAGCGCGCGAAAATAAAAGTTACGTGTTTGATGAAAAAATTGACTAACAAGCCTGATATGGCGTAAAACAGTGTTACCAAACGGTGGGTAAGAAGAGGATTATAAGTGGCAAATTCTTGTATATTTTCCATTAATTAACTAAGAATGCAGGGCAAGTAAAAAGAATTGAGTAGTTGGAGTAATCGTGTTATTAACGTACGTACATCGAGGAGAATAGAAATTCCAAAAGGATAAAGAAGGTGGAATTGAGGGGAGTGGGACCAGAGTGAAATGTGGGAAGACGTGAAGGAAAAACGACGTGACTATGATGAGTGTGTTATCATAAGCCTCATCACAGCAGCAGAAGCGGAACAGAACAGCAGCATGCACCCCGCCCCGCCCCGCCCCGCCCTGTATACTTACTACTCCATCTGTACCATAACATACCATATTGCCATCCATACATCCATTTATTGTTTGTTTCTTCCATTCAATTCCTCCATTGTCTCGTGCCTTTCACACTTATTCTCAATCCGGAATGCCCTCTTCCCCCATTCTCTCATTTCAAAATCAAATTCCCATCCTCCTATTTACGAATTTCTTTTTTTATATTTTCGGACACAAAAAGAACGTAATTTCAAATTTCAAGCTAATAACAGAAGGCTAGCTAGGGTACCTGCGCACGGATATCTCATCAAGAGGGGCGAATTTGTTTCATGAGTGTAGGGCGTGAAAACTTTTCTTTAGTGTAGCGCGGAGAATTTTCTCCGCTAGTGTAGCGGGGCGATTTTTTTGCTAGTATAGGGCTCCGCGACAATTTTTTATTCAAGTTTTTTTAAGGTGACAACTCCGGTATCCAATCAAAAAATGGGGTATCGTACCTACCACTCACTTGATTGGTCCAAATCATTCTATTATTTTGAATTTAGATTTAAATAATTCAACTGTAACATTATGATTGGTCATCTGGACAAAGGTATGATACCTTAAAGGTACCATAGAATCTACCTTTTTTATTAATACAACATACACGACGATATTTAAAACTATTACATTCTAAATTTAGACAATGGAAAAATAACTTTGATTTTATAATTGAAAGACTCTAAAAAAGTATTGATACATTAAATCGTAAGAAATAGCTACCCAAAGAAAAGTTATTTGAAGATAAAAAGTTTAAAAGGTATACATCCATCAATACTTTTTAAATAACTTTTGCATTCTTTAACCCCATTAATCTTTATCAGAATAAACAATTGGTGTTTGAATTACAATTTTTGTCTAACAAAAAGGGTGTTTGTGAGTCATGAAGAGTTTTCTTATTATTATAATGGTATGTAAGACATTATTATTTTTATGATAATATTATATTGCTGATTCATATATATGGTGCATATTATATTTGCATTAATGGTAAAATAAGTAAAAGTTTATTGTATATGCAATAATTAGTTTGTGAACGTAACAAGTAAATGAATTGTATAATTTAATGCCAACAAAAATTTATATTTTGGATTCACCTCACATGATCTAAAAGCTATTTAACTAGTTTGTCTGGTAGTTAATATCATTTGATATTTTACAAAATCGAGTACTAATTATCTAATAAAGATAATTAAACAAAACATTATTACAAAACTAGGAATTTTTATATGATAAATATCCCAAGTCTTAAACAATGATCAAAATTGTTCTATTATATTGTTTATTTGCTTAAGTATGTAAATTATTTTAGATGTTTCTTCTTCAAATCTCCAATTAAGTTTTACATTATGTAAGGCTATGTATTAATTTTAAAGTATGAAAATTGTTATGAAAATATTACATATATAATGGAAAATTTTAAAAGTCCAAGGGGGCGGTCGGCCCCCACGCCCCCCTAAATCCATGAGTGCATATACCGTGCAACCGGTGCATGGTGAGCACCATGCACCCATTGGGTATTATTTTATCGCTTTTTTTAAAAAAAAATAATAACTTTTTTATTTTTGATCTGATTTTTATAAAATTTATATCAACATTTTTTTATTTTTCATGATCTTTCAAACGAGACCAATATTGCCTATGTAATTTTAACATATTATCAAACTATTATATTAACCTATGTAAAATATGTAATTTTATGTGTAGAAATATGTAACTCACGTCCAATCAGGTCAAATGCAACTCGTGTGTATAAATATGTAACTCTACGTGTAAAAATATGTAACTTTACGTGTAAAAATTTGTAACTTGCGTTCAGACAGGTCAAATACAACTCGTGTGTATAAATATGTAACTCACGTGTATAAATATGTAACTTTACGTGTAAAAATATGTAACTCTCGTTTAGACAGGTCAAATACAACTCATGTGTATAAATATGTAACTCGCGTGTATAAATATGTAACTTTACGTGTAAAAATATGTAACTTTACGTGTAAAAATATGTAACTCACGTGTATAAATATGTAACTTTACGTGTAAAAATATGTAACTTTACGTGTAAAAATATGTAACTTTACGTGTAAAAATATGTAACTCACGTTCAGGCAGGCCAAATGCAACCCGTGTGTATAAATATGTAACTTTACGTGTACAAATATGTAACTTTACGTATAAAAATATGTAACTCACATGTATAAATACATAATAAAATAATTTTTTTTATATACACAATTTTAAGATAAATTGTGATTTACACAATTATTTTTCTGTATTGAATTTAGTTCAATTTTCCTTATAATCCAATACTCATTA